GTGAAAAAAATTTTTTTACCTTGTTTCAGTCATTTCTATTTTGGGTATCTGTTAATTGGCAACTAAACTGAATCCTAAGTATAGACTTCTTTTTAGAATTTCCTTTTGTAGGTAACTAATCTGTTTGTCCTCTAAGTGAGAATTATAGAGTAAGTAATCTATCCCTCATATTTTTCCTAGTTTCATTAAAGATGGAGTCATACTTATTTCTTATATTAAGTAATTTTTAAGACAAAAAAGCAGAACTGTTTTCACCTATTAAGTTAAAAACTGGAATTTTACCTTTCCAAACTTATTTCCTACCTTGCCCCTTTACATGTTAATACCTTGAACAGTAATTCTCTTCAAGCTCCATAATTTCCTACTTTCTACTTTTGCTCATTATTTCCATTCCAAGGAAAGTTCTGTGTGTGTCTATTTCTATGTTGAAAGTACACCTGTAAGATCCAACTCACAGGCCACTGCCCTCTAAGGTCTCTCCTGATCCACTCAACAAGAAGTAATTTTATCTTCACCAATACCATTTCCTCCTTGACACTTACCTCTTTTACTGGACTCCTCGAGGTTGAGGCCTGTATCTTTGGTTCTCTATGCTATATTCTCTGTAGCATACGGCATAGTAGCTTGTACATAACTGTCACATACTAAATGTGTTACTGTATATCAACACATTTGGATTTTAGAAACATTATTTGGTAAAACTATGGTATTTTCCACAGCTTGCTTTCTTTAGATAAAATTAACTGATTTAAAAATGTTTTTCTGCTATCTTAAAGTGGTAACTCAGACCTCCTGAGAATAATTTTATCTTTTAAAAATATGAGGGCTGTGCATGGTGGCTCATACTTATAATCCCAGACTCTGGGAGGCCAAGGCGGGCAAACTGCTTGAGCCCAGGAGTTTGAGACCAGCCTAGGGAACATGACAAAATCCCATCTCTACAAAAAGTATAAAAATAAGCCAGGGATGGTAGTGTGTGGCTGTAGTCCCAGCTACTCAGGAGGCTGAGGCAGGAGGATTAAGTAAGCTTGAGAAGTCAAAGCTGCAGTGAGCCGTGATCGTGCCACTGCACTCCAGCCTGGGTGACAGAAAAATACACTGTCTCGAAAAATAAAAATAAAAATGTTATGAGTGAAGATAAGCTTTGTGGTTTATCTCAAAAACCTTGAAGATTTCTGGCTGGAGGCAGTGGCTTATGCCTATAATCCCAGCTACTCAGGAGGCTGAGGCAGGAGAATTGCTTGAACCCAGGAGGTGGAGGTTGCAATAAGCCGAGATTGCACCATTGCACTCCAGCCTGGGCAACAGAGTGAGACTCTGTATCCAAAAAAAAAAAAAAAAAAAAAAAAAAAACAAAAACAAAAACAAAAGCACACACACAACACTTTGAAAATTTCAAAATATCATGTCCACCATTTCATTATCCTCTGGATTGCTCCAGATAGAATATTTCTCCCTCTCGAAGAAGGAAAAAATAAAGTGATTTGCACAGCATCATAAAGAAGAATGTAATAAGAAACAGGTCCCTCACCTCTTGAGTTCAGTGTTCTGATCAAATTTGATCAGATAAGCCCTGCTTCCTACCCAAAAAGACTGACATATCAGAGAAAGGAAAATCGAAAACTTCCATGTAACTTGAAGACATGATTTTAAAACACAAGAAACAGATGGGGAGAAAATTTTTAGCAACATGCATAGTAGTGGCTTACTATCCGTAGTAATAAAAAGTGCTATTCCAAATCATAAGAAATAGGATAAACAACTCAACAGAAAAATGGGCAAAGGAAACAGGTAAGTCACAGAAGAAGAAAACATATAACAGGATACTCAGTATACTAAGTATTATCAAAATACAAATTAAAACAAAGAAATTACCCCCTCGTCCCATCTTTTAGAGAGGTAATATACAGTAAAGGTTACATATACAGACTCTAAAGCCAATCTTCCTGGGTTTGAACCTCAGTTCTCTCATTATCCAAGCTCTATAACCGCAGGGAACTTATGAATTTCTCTGTGTCTCAGTTATCTCATTTTCAAAATAGGAGTAATGACAGTGACCACCTCATAGGGTGGTTGTGATGATTAAATGAGTTAGCTTATATAAAGTACTTATAATATATCTGTCACATAATAAATACTACATAAGTGTTTATTATTTCTATTCTTTCAACATATTGACAAAATGGAAAAGGTTGTCTGAAGGATAAAAGTAACCTTAATTTGTTGGTGGGAAAGGTCCTTTTTTGAAGGAAAATTTGATAACCTACATACTCTATACCAAGCAGTGCTACTTCTGAAATCCAACCCAGCCACCAGTACAAAAAGGCACATGTTCAAAAATGTTCATGACATCTCTATTTTGTATCAAAAAAGGGAAACAATGTAAATATCCAATACCTCAATAGAGAAGTGAGGTACATTATTATAAAAACACTGTAGCATACAAATATTCAGTTGTTAAAAAGAATGATGTGGACTGACATTTACTGACATAAGGAGAGTACAAAATATTTATACTAAAAAGGAAGTCACAAAGTAATATGCATAATATGATCCCATTTATATTAAAATATGAAAACATATACTTGGGTTCCCTTTATGTATGGAGTTTTAAAGAGGTTTGAAAATATAAAAATTGTTAATAAGGTTATTTATGTGGGGAGATAGGAAAGATAAAGAGGGTCTTTAGTTCTTTTTCTCTTTATTTACATACTGAAACTTTTTCCCCTCCAAAACAACAAAGACAAGTGAGTATTTTAATTTATAATTTAAAAACAGAAAAAAAAGAGCTGCTTACTACCTCTAACTGGAGGTTCCATAGACTGGATAAAAGAATAGAAATGTTTTGCTACTTAGATTTAGACACTGTATAACATTTTGAAAGAAGTGGCTGACTTCAGCAATTGATGCATCTGACCCAGGAAAATCAGAGGTCTTCAGAAAATACTTGGTCACACCTATAAGGGCACTCACTAATTCAAAGAACTCAGCTGATGAGTATCTTGCACCTTAGCTCTATTTATCTGACTGTTCAAACGATCTGAAGGCAAGAGAGTCTTTTTTAAAACTGGAACACATTCAAATTACATTGAGTACATCCCTACACAAGAAAAAGTTTTTTGAAAAATTTCTGTAGGAAATCTCTGCAATTCAAATGGAGTTGATAAATTAAAAGGGTTACTTAATATTTGAGATTTACTACCACTTTTTTATTGTGCTGTACTTAAGAAAGAAAGACTTTGCTATTGATTAAAGCATAACAGCATAAAAGTCACAAATAATACATTTCGATCACTGGAAAGGCTAAAAATACAGTAACCATATAATAGAAATACAAGAGACTGGGAGAAAATGATCTCTTGGTAATTCAGTCAAAAAATTCCCATGGGCAACCTAAAACAAAATGAAATAGGAGAGAGCCCTTTGTTTGAAATAAAGAAGTTAATATTTAGTGCAAGGTTAAAAAATAAGGTAAACTTATAAAAAAAACTTGTCTCCCAAGTTTCTATATGATGCTGCAGGGTTTAAGAAAATGGCTATTGAATTGGGACTGTTTTATTTGCTGCACAACATCTTTGTTCTTAAGAATCAATAATCTGAAAAAAATTGTTATTCTATTTTTTGAGACATTAATAAAATGCTTTGAATTCCTGGAATGATGAAAATTATAGAATAATAGGAAACTAAGAAAAATATTTCAAAAATATTTTTTATGATTACCTTAAAACAAAGAGGTATAAAAGAGATAATAAATATACTGCAAATTGGGCTGACTTGCAAATTTCACAGAGCACCTTTAATGTAGTTCAAGAAGGGCTAATAAAGCAGTAGTCCCCCATCAATTTCCTTCATTTACAAAATAAAGACAGTAATCATCTGCTCAGCAAATCTATAATTTTATTTCTGTTTTCTAGGTAGATAAGTGAAAAACAGTCACTTACCAGAAAAAAAAAAAAGTAAAACATAAATAAGAGTATCAAATATGAGAGGCAGACCTGAGTTCAAATCCCAGCTCTACTACTTACTAGCTGTGTGACCCTGGGCAAGTTTCTCAAACGTTTTATGCCTCAGTTTCTCATCTATAAAATGAGGATAATAATAGTATCTAGGGTTGTTGTATTACATGAGAGACTACATTTAACGTGTGGCACAGAGTAGGTACTTAATAAATATTGGTGGTAGCGACGATGTGCTGATGCTGATACCACAAGCACTACTTCCAAAATTCTGAACATTATCGAGACATGATGTGTCAAAAATGCGTCAGCACACATTCAATGATTTTTGAAGGATATTATCCTTAGGGAGCTATACATTTGAGGTTTACTCAAGCTAGTCGTCTTAATTATTGAAATCCATCCAGGCTTCCTTTTCAGCACACGTCATCTAGATGTAATTGCAAACCAACAAGGCCAATTTCATATGCTTTACATACAGAACACAGCAGTAAAAAGCATGGACTATGGAGCCAAACTGCCCAAGTTCAAATACCATTTTTGCTATTTACTAGCTGTATGACCCTGGGCAAGATTATTTAACCTCTCTGTACTTCAGATTCTTCATCTATAAAATGGTGATAATAATAGTATTTATCATATAGGGTTATTATAAAGATGAAACAAGATAACATGTATGAAGCATTCTGTGACAGTGCTAAAACTGTTTAGCTATCATCATCATTATTCTTTATAGTCATTCTACCAAAAACAAAACAAAAGATACACCTCTGACCACTATAACTTGATTCTATAGAAACAGCTTAACTGACCCTGAAATTAGTTTTTATGTATCCACAAACTCTCCAATATTATAAGATTCTTAAACTGGTTGGGTATTTGAGTCAATTTTTTGCATCTTGCCTTAATATGAACATGACATAAAAGTCAATTTTTTATTGTATTTTTCTATTTGTCATTGATTGAAATTCAGAACAGACTAAAATGTCTTAACAAAATTCATTCTCAAACTGCTTTTTTTTGTTTTAAGAAAGTTAACTTCCTACCTGTCATCTGTACTGCGAAGGGATGGAAGCCGAAAGCTCGTGTTTCTGTCAAGCTTTGACTGACTTTTGGTCCTCTTGATGGAGCCTTTCAGGCGCTTGCTGAAGAATCCCTAGAAGGAAAGGCAGAAGGTGATGGGAGAGAGAACAAAAAGGGAACGTCACTCTTCCACATGGTCTCTGCAAAAGGTATTTAGATTTTTACAATAAAGACCAGAAATAGAACTTAGCTTTTAAGCTCTTCAATTTTGTAAAAAAGAGTTACTTGAAACCACCTGGCAATGTGATGAGAAAATTTTCTTCTGTGAGAATTGGGATAATTAAACTTTCCAATAGCACCTAATTTCTTATTTCTTAATGTTTATATTAGTTATGGAAGAAAAAAAACTTCTGATTTTACTGGTAGATTTCCAAAAGCACAACAATATAACACAGACAAATATATTCCTTTCTATGAAGATGGTACCAGCAATTTCAATACAAATGACCTCTAGTGATTTCCCAAACTAAGGGAAAACAGGCAAAGAAAATGGCATGTGCAAAGGCCCCCAGGTGAGAAGGCACTTGGTGCACTGGAGAAATTAAAAGATACTGATAGAAGAAAAATAGCTTTATTCTAAGATATGTAAAAAGGAGTTAACTAAGTTGTAAAATACAATGTATTGGTGGTCTCGGAAGTGTTAAAACTCGGTCTGTGTCACCTTGGATATGGCATTATAAAATTAAGTAATGAATGTGGATAAACTATTTTAAAATGAAGTATAGATAATTTATGAAATTGTTAAAGCTTCCAGACTTTAACAAAGTGCTTTACAGTCTTTGGCCCCTGCCTGCCTCCTGCCAGTTTTACCAAACTATTTAGAGTTCCCTGAACATCTTCCTTGACTCTGCACCTGGCAAATAATGAGCACTTAACAAAAGTTTGTTGAATAAAAGAATAAATGCAAAAATGAATGATGGTCACTACTTTCAAGAAATTTACAATTCTATCATTGGCAGGTGAAAGGAATCTTATAGAAGCATATTAAAATTTCTCAGTCAGACATGGTGGCTCACGCCTATAGTTCCAGCATTTTGAAAAGGCTGAGGTGAGAGTATAGCTTGAGGCCAGGAATTCAAGACCAGCCTGGGCAACATGGTGAGACCCCATCTCTACAAAAATAAAATAAAATAAAATTTAGCCAGCCATGGTAGCACATGCCTGTAGTCCCAGCCACTCAGGAGGATGAAGTGGGAGGATTGCTTGAGCTCAGGAGTTCAAGGCTGCAGTAAGTGATGACTGTACCACTGCACTCCAGCTGGGGCAACAGAATGAAACTCTAACTCAAAAACAAAACAAAATAAAATAAAATAAAATAAAATAAAATATCTCAAGCAAAGATTCTAATTCAAAGAAAAATACTCTGACACATGGAGAATGACTCTAATCATCTTGAGATGAATTCATTTTATATAAGCTGTGTACAATAAACATTTCTGTAATGAAGAAAAAGAAATACTAGGCCAATATTAGCACATCAAATCTTTTATATTCCTTTAGTAACTACCAAAGCCCACTGTTTTGGGGTGAAGGCTATATTTATCAGGATAAGCTAGGTTATGCTTATCTAATTACTCCTCAATCTTAGTGGCATAAAATATGTTACACGTCCATGAGCAGGTCAACTGGCAGTGGGGGGGGGGGGGGTTCCTGTCTATGCTGTCCTCATTCAGGAACTTAGGCTAAGGGAGGCTCTCTATCTGGGCTTCTACAGTTTTTGCAGCAGGATAAAGGTAAAATAGCAAATTATGTACATGTACTAGCTCTTAAAGCTTCATGTCAATTTTGGTCTCATTTCACTGACAAAACAATCACATGACCATATCTAACTTTAATGGAGGAAGGGATATACAGTACTACCAGGTACTCAGAAAGGGAACTGAAAATACTTGGTGAACGTCAGTGTAGACTGCTACAGTGTTTTACCAAGCCAATTTATTTTTTAAACACGCAGGCATCGCTCCTTTGATTAGAGGAAAATGAAAACAAACGCACCCAATCAGAAGCAGAACTATTTAGATTACTGAAAGATAATACTTATAATGCTATATCCTATTGTTTTGGCCACCCAAGGAGAAAGTGTAAAAACTCCTAGTATATATCACACAGACCTAATACCCTAGGCTGTTTTTCACTCCAACTTATTATAGGTATGTAGAGATTGACTGAAGGCAAGGGAAAAAGGCTCAATGTGAAGATGATGAGGATGAAGATCTTTATGATGATTCACTTCCACCTAATAGTAAATAGTATATTTTCTCTTCCTTATGATTTTCTCAATAACACTTTCTTTTCTCTAGTTGACGACTTTAAGAATGCAACATACAATACATATATCATGCAAAATATGTGTTAATTGACTGTATATGTTATTGGCAAGGCTTCCAGTCAACAGTAGGCTAACAGTAGTTAAGTTTTGGGAGAGTCAAAAGTTACATGAAAATTTTCAACTGCACAGCGGGTGGTGTCTCTAACCCCCATGTTGTTCAAGGGTCAACTGTACAATTTTGGTGTCATTAGGGAGAGTCACTGTCATTAGTCACAGTCATTAGTACATAAAGGCAAAGGCTTTATGTACTATTTTCTATGACTCAATCAGAATGAGTCACCACATCTGCTAATAAATGTAGTCAGCAAATCAGGCTTAAGTTTATAGAATTGTAATAAGATTGCTTAGTGTTGTTTCAAAAACCTAGGATGAGATCCAGGCCAAGGAGTCGACCAAAAATGATACATACATTTCTAACAAAAATGCAGTTAAGCATTTGACTGAGACAGTATTAGTAGACGTTCACTTATCTAGTAATTTAATTCTACCTTTTTTGTGGCACTTTTTTTTTTTTTGAGACGGAGTTTCACTCTTGTTGCCTGGGCTGGAGTGCAATGGTGCAATCTCAGCTTGGCTCACTGCAACCTCCGCCTCCCAGGTTCAAGCTATTCTCCTGCCTCAGCCTCCCGAGTAGCTGGGATTAGAGGCATGTGCCACCACACCTGGCTAATTTTGTATTTTTGATAGAGATGGGGTTTTCCCATGTTGGTCAGGCTGGTCTCGAACTCCCAACCTCAGGTGATCCAGCTGCCTTGGCGCCCCAAAGTGCTGGGATTACAGGCGTGAGCCACCACATCCAGCCTTGTGGCACATATTATATCATACCTCATATGACATAATATGATATACTGTATTTAATAAAATTTATGCCTATTTGTTGTAGAGAACTCTACTAGGAGTTGTAAGGAAATCAAAGATAAACACAAACTCTGCCCTCAAGGAACCTGCCATTTAATACAGAATTTAGACACTAAATATAAATTTATACACAGGCTTATTAGTAGACTGGACATGGCTGAGGAAAGAATCTCTAAGCATGAGGATATATCAATAGAAACATCCAAAACTGAAAAGCAAGCAAACAAAAATACCCAGAAAAGAATATCCAAAGATTACAGGACAACTACAAAAGGCATAACATGTGTAATGGGAATACCAAAAGGAGAAAAGAGAAATAAATAGCAGAAAATCAGAAAGAATAATGACTGAGAATTTCCCCAAATTAATATACCAAACCAAAGATCCAGGAAGCTCAGAGAATACCAAGCAGCACAGATGTCAAAAAACCCCCTAAAAGAAAAAAAATCCCAACCCCCAAAACTACACTGAGGCATATCATTTTCAAACTGCAGAAAAACAAAGATAAAGAAAAAATCCTAAAGAAGCCAGAAGGAAAAAACATTTTATGTACAGAGGAACAAAAATAAGCATTACATCTGGCTTCTCCTCAGAAACCATACAAACTAGAGAATGGAGTGAAATATTAAAGTGTTGAGAGGGAAAAAAAAGAACCCAGACTATCAACCTAGAATTCTATAACCTGCAAAACTATCCTTCAAAAGTGAAGGTGAAATAAAGCTTTCTCACATACATGAAAAAATTGAGGAAATTTGTTGCCAGTAGACCAGCCTTGCAAAAAATGTTTAAAGAAGTTCCTTAGAGAGAAAGAACAATATAGGTCAGAAATTGGACCTTGTTAAGAAAAGGAAGAGTATAGAAGCAATAAGTGAAAATAAAACAACCTTTTGCTTTTCTTCTTAATTGATTTAATATCAAAATAATAATAATGTATTTAATTATGCATGCTTATGTATGCTATGTATATATGATATATATGCTTATGTATACTTATATATAAGGGAAATGAATACTAATGATACAAATGACAAGATGGAAAAATTAAGATTATTTTATTATAAGGTGCTCATACTATCTATGAAGTTGTATAGTGTTATGTGAAAATGGACTTGGGTTAGTTATAAACTTAAAACACTGCAAATTCTAGGGAAACCACTAATTTTTTTTTAAATAAGCATAATTGATATGCTAAGAAAGGAGAAAAAATGGAATCATATAAGTCATTCAGTTACAATCGTGAAAGGTTATAACAGTGGAAGACAAAAATAAGGACACAGAACAAAGGCAACAAATAGAAAACAGTTAACAAATATGGTTAGAAACCCAACTAAATCAATAATCACTCTGAATGTCAACAGTCCAAATACACCAATTAAAAGAGACTGTCAGTGTGGATCAGAAAACAAGACCCAACTATATATCATCTACAAGAAACTCACTTTAAATAAAAAGGCACATAAAGATTAATAGTAAATGGATGGAAAAAACATACTATGCCAACACTAATCAAAAGAAAGCAGGCATAGCTATATTAATTTCAGACAGAGCAGATATTAGAGCAAGAAAACAAGGATAAAGAAGGGCATTACATAATGATAAATGGATCAATTCTCCAAGAAGACAGCCTTAATGTACATATGCCTAATAACAGAGTATAAAGAGACATGAGGTAAAACTGGTAAGAGTTGCTAGGAGAAACAGATAAATCTATATAGTTGAAGACTGCAACACCTATCGATCAGAAATGGACAGATCTAGCAGGCAGAAAATCAGTGAGGACATAGTTTAACTCCAAAACACCATGTAATCAACTGAATATAACTGACATCTATAGACTACTTTATCCAACAACAGCAGAATAGAGGTTCCTCAAGCTCATATGGAAC